CTGTCCGACAGCTCTGTCTACGTATGTTTTAAACTTGCGAGGGTTCACCGCTCTCATGTTGGTGACGTTGATTGGGTCTCTGATATTCATATGGTTTCACGCAGGGTCTGACTGGAAATGTCCTGTGGCTTTGCAGATAGTCCATGCTGGATGCGAGTCCGCCCCTAGTGGCTATGTAGTATGGTTTCGTGCTTCGTTGGCTGATTTGGCCTGTTTATCGTTGCTTTACTGATCTCTATCGCTTTCTCCGCCGTGTCGTTAGCAACCTTAGCACTGTCTGCATTTGCTTTGATACTGGCAACGGCTTTGTTGAGGTCCGTTTGATGCCATCGATGGTCTGTTCGGTGGCTGTTTTCGCCTCGGCTGTCCGTTTGGGAGCACGTCCGGGAGGCTGCCGAGGTCAGGTATGATTTGCATTTTGAGGTTGAGGGACAGATCGCTAATGACTGCGGTCCTGACTTCATGGGTGTCAACAGGTCGCCCGTCCACGTCGTCAATAACAGAGGGTGCTGGTACGGACTTAGTTTCGCGGCGTGCTCTGGGTGGTTGATCGACCAAATTGATCCTCAGACCACGAAGTCGCCCTGATGCACTGGGCAGAGCGTCGGGCACTTCACTATCCCACTGACCATTTGGAGCAGGCTTGCGGTTCTATAATTGACTAGTGTCTCACAATTTCTTTCTCGCTGGTGTTGATGTTTCTCGTTCTCACCAAAACGTGTCGAAAATCACTCGGGCCCTTTCAAGGACCACGTGATTTCTCGCGTGTATTCGTTGAGTGGGCGGGTCCGAGTGCCGAAATGTGTAATCGTGAGGCTTGATCTTCCTCTGTTAGGGCCACAGCATCAGATCGTCACAGTCGGCACTGCGTCGTCAATTTGGCATCCTAAACAGATGTTGTGGCAATGATACCCTTCAATCAGTCATACAAGTCGCGCCTGTCGCCTCTGACAAACAAGCGCCTCAATCGCAACATCTTGCTGACAGCAACTTTGTTCCTCCTCACAGGCGTATTTTTCTGGAGCCGTCATAAGCCAGTACTAGTGCCAGGGTTCCCCCCTAACGAGTTGTGGTTGGAGCCCGACGAAATCAACAAGACGTACAACTTTCCAACAACGAGCGAATTTCAGCCCGTATCGCAGAGCCCCGGTAGCAAAACTACTAAGCAGTTATGTGCCAGTTTCCCCAAACACAAGCTGTCGCGAATCCAACCTGTTCTAAAGATGGGATATAGCGAAAACCGAGACAAGATCGAGTCGCAATTGGATAGTGTGAGCGCCTGCTTCTCCACGGACGACTTGCTAATATTCTCAGATATGGAGGAGACTCTGCGAGGCCACAAAGTTATCGATATCTTGGCTTATCTGCCGGATACGTATCGAAAGGGATCGGACACCTCCAAGTTTCAGCAGTACTTGCTGCAGAAAGAGATGAAGGAAAACAAGATATTGAATGTGGATAAAGAGGCCACTAAGAAGATTGATGGTTGGGCGTTGGATAAGTTTAAGTTCTTGCCGGGAGTTGAGAGAGCGTGGGCTATGAAGCCGAACAAGGAATTTTACGTCTTTTATGAGACAGACACGTAAGTACAGCGCTTTAAGGCATTGAAAGTGTATTTTGTTACTGCAATGAAACT